GGTCTGCTCAGTGGCTTGCTGCTCTGAGCCCTTGCTGCCCACATGGTGGCCACATCCAGGAGTGCTTTCCATTATCCCTCCACCTCGGTCTGCTCAGGTTTGAAATCCACAGGAGAGGAAGGATCCCTCAAAGTGGCCACAGAAGGGATCAAGAAAAAGCTTCCAAAAAGGAACTTGAGCTAGAAGACTGCCAGTGGGGCTTTACAGAAAAGCCAATATACATGATGAGTTCATCAAGGCCAACGCACATTGCCCCTGCTGAGCAGAATGACCTAAGCTAGGGGTCCTCAACACCTAAGCCACTGACTGGTATGTAGCCTCTTAGGATTCGAGCTGCACAGCAGGAAGCGGGCTAGCGAGCGAAGCTTCATCTGTATTTGCGGCTGCTCCCCAGCACTAGCATCACCACCTCAGATTGTCAGGCATTGGATTCTCATAGGAGCACCGGTCCCTGGTGCCAAAAAGGTTGAGGACCTCTGGCCTAAGGTGCTAGCCAGGGAGGAGTCGGCGTTATCTGCCCGATGCTACATAAACTACAGCTTAGGAAGCTACATCCGGTGGCCTTCCTGCAGCCCCCACTGCTCATGGTGCAGACCATGCACAGAGACTCCAGGGCTAAGCCTGGCTCTGCCATGAGCTGCTGGGTGGCCTTGGCAAGGTCCCCTGACACTCAGCCCTCCTACCTACCTTTTCACTCACAGGGAAGAGACTTAAAACAACAGAAATTTACTCTCACAGTTCTGGAGGCCAATCAGAAATCAGGGTATCAGCAGAGCGGGTTCCTTCTGGAGGTTCTGTGGGAGGATCCATTCCAGGCCTCTCTCCAGCTTCTGGCAGCTGCCAGTGGTCCTCCGAGCACCTTGGCTTATAGATGCATCACTCCAACCTCTGCCTCCATCTTCATATCGTCTTCTCCTCTGTGTGTCTGTGTGTCTCATAGATCCAATGTGTGTCACTGGATTTAGGGCTCACCTACATGATCCAGAATGATCTTATTTCAAGACCTTTAACTTAATCACATCTGCAAAGATCCCTTTTCCAAATAAGGTCACATTCACAGGTTCTGGAGATTAGGATGTGGACATATTTTTTGGGAGGGCCATCATTCACCCCACTACTAGGACCCACATTGACTCCAGGTCATAAGGGGAATGTGGGTGAAGTCAGAGGCATGAGGATGGAGAGCAAAAAGGTGGCCCATCCTCTCCAAAGAATGCTATCTCCACAGGTGCTGGAGAGGGGGACCAGAGACAGAGATGGGAACCAACCCACCTGTGGACTCACTGGGTAGCCACCAACCCACCTACAGATTGAAGCACAGAGCAGCTCTGTTAGAAGCTTAAGGAATTCATAATCAATAAGCATAACAAGGCAGAGAGAGTTGCTTCGGAAAAGCACAGAGAAGGTTCACGAGTAGTTATTTAACACCAGAACCAAGTGTATTTGTACTTGGCCCTAGGCTTCCTTTCCCAGCTCTGAATGCAGTCAAGGGATAGAGAACATAGTGCATCTTCAGGAAGAAAGCCAGGTGTGTCTGCTTCTGCTTCCTGAACTTCTGATGAGGGCCAGCCCTGCTCCAGGAGTGCCTCACACGTGAGGACACATAGAGGCAGGTGTCTGGGTCACCCACTGTGGGGACAGCATGTGCCCTGGAGGCCACCAGACCTAGGTTGAGACACAGTCTGCTACAGCTTCCCCTGTAGCACAGGGCCCGTGGCGACACTGTAAGCCCCAACACTGCCAGGTCACTGTTAGCAGTGAAGTAGGGTAGAGATGGGTCTTGGCTCCACAGCTGCATCCCACCTCCCGCCTTTCTCTTTAGAGTCTGGACCTGAGAATGAGAGTGGACACGTGTCCAAGAGAGACAAATAAAGGGAGGTCTATTATCATGTGCTTTAAAAAATATTCAAATTTAATAATTTATGCTTTACTATTAAGACACACATTTCTATTTTTCTTTAAAAGTAGTTAGTTGATGAGCCCTGAGTATGCCAACCCCAAGCTGACTCAGCACTGCCTGGGCCTCACCAGCCCGAGGATTCGCCCAGAGTCCTCCAAAGCCCCAAGTAACATTCTCCTGCCAGGCCCACCTCGTACCCTGCTTCATGACTTGCGGCTTCAGCAGTGGGGTCCGAGCCACTGTGTGAAGCCCTAGTGGGCCGTCCTTCAGAGCAAAGGAAACAGTTCTTCTGGACATAGAGGCAGCTCTCTGTGAACCCTGAATTTCTCTTCTGGCCTCTTGCTTTTCTCCCCTCCCTGATGTTTGAGCCCACAGCCCTCTGGCCCCAGCCCCGTGAAGTAAGTGGTCCCCCAGGGAGCACAGCTGTATACTCCTGACCCAGGCCACTCTCAAAATCGCGGCTGTCCTTCGCAGCTGTCCTTCATTCAGTACGGTGAATACCACAGTGAGACTCTTCCACGCTCCCTGTGCAGAGAGAGAATGGGAGGTGAGTGCCCACCCAGGGCTGTGCCCTTCCCACCAGCACTCACCTGTTCCGCCCTTGTGGTCTGAAGTGAGCACCACCCTGGAGGCTGCTGCGGGGGAAGGGTGCCCCCCTTGTGCCTGGGTGTTTCCGCAGGCCCCCTCGGTCTGTGGAGCTGATCCCTGGTAAGTTGGTCCTCTTGGGCAGCACCTGAAACCAAAGGCCAAGTGGCCCAAGACCCCTGTTCTCCCATCCTCCTCCCTGGTGCAGCCTAAATCTCCTCCCCAGAGCAGAGCTGCCTCCAGGAAGTCTTCCTGGACTTCTTTGCTATAGGCTCACAGGTAGGTATGCACAGGCACCAGAGCCCATCAGAACCCCCAGGGCACGGGGCCACTGAAGGCATCAGACCCTAAACTTGTTCTGGACCTTCCCAAGATCCCCACTTAGGCCTAAATTGTCCAGCCGTAGCTCTGGTCACATGATGTGCCCCTGATGAGCCAACATCTCCTCCTGTAGGAGGCGGAGTCTGGCTTGGGAGGGGAGCTTCCCCAGTGCCACACCCAGGCCAAACTCTCTGGGGTCTGAGGTGCCTCCACCCCACCCCTGCTGCCCAGCAGGTGTGCCCAGAGATGCTGGGAGATTGGAGAAGGGTCAGGCTGGTGAGCTGTGTGTCAGCCTCCCTATGCCTGCATTTCCTGGCACCTCAGGGATCAATGGGTTAATGTAGGGATGCTCAGAGCAGAGCCCGTACACCCTAGTGCCCCCACCTCGAGGTGCCCTGGTGACTCATGTGGGACATGCACCTTGATGACCCGGCCTCGGAAGATGCTCTCATCCAGCTCCACAGCAGCTTGAACTGAACTCTCACTGGCAAACTCTACGTAGGCATAGCTGGGGTGGGACAGGGACTGGTGAGGGCCCACCCCAAGTGGCCCATGCTGGGCACCACCCTGGGTTGCCAGGACCCCTCCCCCTGGCCCTGCACTGACCCTTTGGGGTGTCCAGAGAACTTGTCACATAGGATGGTGACCCGCTGGACCTCCCCGCAGTGGTTGAAGTAGGCCTCCAGCTCTTTGGCGGTTCCCCCGTAGTCCACCTGTCACAGGCACTGCCCTGGTGTGTGGGGGCCCCTGCAGGGTCCTCACCCTCCCAGAGCCTCCTGCAGCATATGTTCTTGGTAGAGAGGGGTTGACTGGCCCCCAGCGTGTGGGTGGTAGCACCCAGGCTGAGGATAGACTGGAGACTGAGACAAACACCCCATACATGGTAGGTGCCCGCCCCCGCCACCATATTTATTTGGCATGTACAAAGAATGTGTGACTTTTTAAAGTGGAATTCGTTGCCAGTGATTGACCAGTTGACAGATTTCATGTGGAAATCCCAACTCCTAGCTCACGCTGGGAAATTAGAGCTCTTGATGACACAGGCCCGGGTCCTTCCCCTGCTTCTTCAGACCCTGCCCTCCTGCGTCTCCCCTGGGCCTGCGTGGCTCTGAGTTTGACCCCTACACATTTCCCTTCCCTTGATCCTCACAGCCAGAAGGAGGCAGCAGACTCAGGGTGCCCCGTGAAGGGATCCCATCTTGTTCCCCTCCTGTGCTCACATTGCCCACATAGATGGATCTGTGGTCCACTTCCATCTTCTCCACGGGGGTCCCAGGGTAGGGGCGGCCTGGGGAGAGAACAGCCTCAGGATGGGGTTGGAGGCCCCTCGGCAGCTGTTAAAGTCCGGCACTTCACATTTGTGGCTTGTTGCACTCCTGGGGGTAGAGGTCACCTCTTGGGTCCGTTCTAGAAGGACTTACTGCTGCCTGCCAGGCCAACACTCCCTGTGAGCGGCCCTTTCCCAGCAGCAGCTTGCAGCCCATCTGGATTTACAGAGGAGGAAGCAGGCTCAGGGCTGCATGTTTGAGGACTTGGGGGACCCACCCACCGTCCAAGGAAAGAGTCTTGCTGGCTCCTACCTGTCTCTGGACTCAGCAGCTGCTGGGCCAGCATGGCCCCCGAGCTCTCCTCTTTTTCCGCCAGGGCCTGAGCCCTGGGTGGCTCTGGTCCCTGGGCCTGCTCCATGGCCCACAGCTTCAGTTTGATGGACTCCAGCTCCTGCCAGCACACAGCCCCAGGCTGAGCCACAAGCCAAAATGCCCCCAGGCTCCTCTGAAGGGAGGACAGAGCAGGGCAGGCCTGACCCCACTAGTCTTCAGGTTTAGTGGCCTCTCAGAGGGACATGCTGGGGGCTTCTCCAAGGGGAATAGGAAGGCCATGGACTTGGGCTACAGAGAAACCCCTATAATCCTTCACCAACACACAAAAGCTCATCGAGGCCAGAGAGGCCATCCTGCCCGCTCCAGCCTATGCAGGGGTGGACATCTCCACTACCCTCTTCCAGGCAGGGGTCAGTAGCCCTTTCACCTCTCAGGTCAGAACTCAGTATTTCTTCCCGTCTTCCCACCCCCCACCACCATGCACAGGGTCCCTGAGGTTCCTGGCCAGCCTCCACTGCATGCTCCAAGCAGCTATGCTCCACGAGGCTGTTACCTGGTCAGCTACTGGGTGCTCAGCCAGGTCCTCGCTCTCTAGTAGAGACAGAGGGAAGCTTGCATCTTCCTCGTCTTCCTCATTGTCTTCCGCTTCCCTGGCCTCCTCCTCCTTCCTGTCCCCACACCCTGGCGCCAGAGAGGTCCTCTCAGTCCCGCTCCAGGCCCCCCAGCCCTGGGCCTCGGAGTCTGAGGAAGCCCTTTGGAGCCAGGCCTCGGTTGGAGGTGGGAAGAGAGCACGGCTGAGGAAAGGCCACATGGTAGATGACGGGGTGAGCCGACCGGGCCTCCAGCGCTCATTTCCACACCAGCACATACTGGTGCCTTCCCTGGGTTTTAAGCCCTCCCCCAGGCCAGCTGCGCCCACTAAGCACTTAAATGGCTTCCAGCTGCAGTCAAACTCCCAGCCCTGGCTTTTGGGCCCTGAGGGGTTAGACGCCTTTACTCCTGACCTGTCCCTTTGTTCCTCACAGTTCTATCACTTCCAGAACACTCAAGGTGGAGAGAAAAGCACAGCTGAGGTGGAGCCAGGGATGGCCTCCCCCACGTCAGCTCAGCCAGGCTTGCTTCCAGGCGTCAGCTAGGGGCGGTGACAATGAGGAAGCTCACTGGCGTAGCCAGTCCACACTCCTCGCTCGGTGTTACACCTCACTTAGCAGTAGGCCATTGTTAGGATGACACAGGCATGAGCAAATTATCTGAGCACGCAGAAGCAGGAAAGATGGCCAGTGGGTTCAGAGCAAGCTTCCTGGAGGAGGTGGCATTTGAGCCGCCCTTGATGAATGGTGTCAGGCAGAGACAGGGCCAAGGATGGTCTGGGCAGAGGGAACAGATTGAGCAAAGGTCTGGAGGAGTGAAGATAGGGTGGGTGCCACAGGGGTCAGAGGTCTACCTCTGTCCCTCCTCCTGAACCCCTATCAATTCCCCATGGACCCACCCCTCTCCCACTCCCCATTCTGGACCAGCTTTTAGGTGGGAGACACTTAAATGAAGCCAGAATCCTGCCCTGGCCACAGGGCAAAACGGTTGAATTACACAGAGCTCAGACAGTGGATACCGGGGCCCTGAAGACAGTTTGTTAAGCCTGCTTCTGCCGCCTCCACGGTTCCTCACTTGCTGCCCATGGAGGACAACTGCAGGCCTGTGTCCCTGTGTGCCCTGGTCTCTTCCATCTGTCCTTTCCTGGCTCAGTCTTGGTGGAGTGCCTGTTGTGCCTTTTCTATCCTCCTGACATGTTTACAGGGGACCCCTCTAGTGCATTTGCCCCCTCCAGCCCAGAGACCAGCCCCGGGCCACAGCTAGTGGGTCAAAGTTGGGCCAGCTGGGTCTCTTCCTCGGGGACTTGGAATTGAAAGGGAGAGTTGCAGGGCCCAGTGGAGTTGGACTGGAAGCCCAGAGCTGGGGCAGCATCCTCCTCTGGGCTATGGGTACAGGGGGGACGAGTCAGGGGGAGACTCGTGGCTGCCGCGCCAGCCCTGGGAAGCTGAGGTCCCCTGGCTCCTCACCCGACTTCCCCTTCCCTTACCCCACCCAGTTTTGTTCTCACCTCCAGGAGGCTGAGCTGAAGACTGCATGGCATCCTCTCGGCCCCTGAGGTAAGGTGGTCTCCAGGCAGAGTCTCACGGCCTCCAGTCAGCTGTGCTCCTGTATGTGCAGGACTCCCAGCTCAAATGCAGGTCGTCCTTGTCTCTTCCCTCTTTCCTTGTCTCCACACAGCTGCCCACACTTACATGCGCACGACTCCAAGGGGCCACTGCTTCCAGGGAGCCTCCCTGATTGCTCCTCTTTCTTGTGACCACTATGCCTGGGCCTTTCCCTCTGTCTGTCCCATGCAAATTATATATCCCCAAGTCTCCCCTGGCAGTCCAGAGTGCCTCAAGGGCAGCATCCATGTCCGCACCGAGGACAGGGCTTCAGTCTAAGATTGGCTGGACAAGGATGGTGGTGTAGCCACTGCCTGTCTTTCTCCCCTAACATGAGATAGTTGGTCCCCTCCCTCCTGTGGGTCCGAGGCCCCATGGAGGGCCTCTGGCCTGGGCCCTTCCCTCTGTTTCCACATGGGAGGCAGGGCACCAAGTAGAGAGCCGCTGGACTCAGGCCCGGCCTCCAGCAGCCTCCCTCTGAGCTCAGACCTCTGCAATGGAAAAACATTGTCATTCCACTCTATGCCGAGACTGCTGACACACCAGGCCCAGCTGGGGCTCCCGCCAGCCGCCTGGCGTGGGGACAGCCTCGCCCCCACACTGGCCTTTCCAATGACGCCTTTTAAAATACACCATGTTCCAAGCCTGGGCCCGAGTATTAATAACACCCCTCCCCCAGGGGCTGCCAGCGAACTGGGAGTTCCAAGTCCTGGGCGCCCGACTCTGGAAGGGACCCGCCCTGGGAGCTAGGATGCCATGGCTGATACTCTGGCTCCTTGTGGGTCAAGGTGTCCCTTTCCTTGGTGTCCATCTTCGGGTCCTGTGTCTACCCTCAGGGTCTTGTGGGAGATGCCCAGCACTGCCACAAACAGTAGGGGTCAGGGTCCATGAAGCCATGGGTGTCGTCTAGGGTCCAAGGTTGTCCAGATCACCTCGAGGACACAACCTTTGAAAGTTCACCCCTCTTGGCAAGAACATAAGAGGCTGTGGGTGGACTGAGCAGAGGGTTTTCCACCCGAACCCCATTCACATTCCAACCTACGTCACGCGGGTGTTCACTCCTTTGGGGCAGGGCCTTGTCTCGCTTGCCTGGCACTGAGAAAGCCCCCAACATATATTTGGTGAGTAAATGTATGAAAAGGGGCTTAGCCGGAATTGCCTGGAACCCAAGGAGAGGCAGAGCCATGATGGCAAATGTTGGTTTTATTACACGACACAGAGGTAACTGACGTGACCTGAATCGTAACATCTTACAGCATCCAGGTCAAACAGGGTACATCAGAGGACACGCGACGGGGACGGCATGCCACGGATCCTACACAGCTTGAGGAAAACCCGTTACAGGAAAACGACCCAACACTTGAGGTCCAACTCCTTTAGGAGAATTATTTTTAAAAAAGGAAGAAAGAGAAAGTGGAAAATCAATGCATTCCCCATGAGGTTGTGCGAGGCTGTGTCCTGGCCCCGTTCCCACGGCCAGACCCCCTCGGCCTGAGGAGGACGCAATGGGCGAGCCCATGGCTGGCCTGACTGGGCCCCTTGTCCATGTGGGAGCAAGGGCATCCAATGCTTTTATTCTAACATTCAAAAAACAGGCTCCGGTTTGAGTCCCGACATCATTACTGTTACGAGGGGTCTTTGGGTGGCACTCCAGCGGCCAGCCGAATGGAAACGCAAGGAACGAAAGCATGCAAGGGGGAGTTTCCTGAAACGCTGAGGACCAGTACAGGTTGCTGTCACAGACACCCAGCTCCCCCAGCCTTATCTGTGACATATCCAAGGAGCAGACGGGACCCCAGGGTCCAGCTCCTGCACGCCCCCTGTTCTCATTCTCTTCCTCCTCTTTTGCCAGCAGGACTGTGACCCGGAGCCTGTTGCCGGTTGCATTTTTGGAAAATGCCCTGTGTGGCATGAGAGCCCTGGAGGCCCAAGGAAACAGGCCACTGGGGCTGGGGAGAGCTAGGCTGGGGGCTTGCACTGGGCCACTAGAGTCCCAGGAACACCCACAACCATCAGCCCAATTCAGCCTTGGCAGGGCCTATTCCTGCCTTACTCAGAACTCCAAAGGACGAATTTCCAGCTGTCGGGGACCCCAGGATGAAGATGGGAATGGGAGTGAGGCAGCATGACCAGAAAACCCCGGGAGAAGAGGGGCTCCAGATGCCGGGGTCTGGGGGGAAGCCAGCAGTGGGTTCTTTCTTCCCCTCTCCCTCCTTTCCTGGGGATACTTCCTCTGGGCAGTGACCCTGGAGATGAGGAGAGAACAGGGCAGCCCCGCCCTGCAATGTTGGGGTTTTGTCAGGGAATATACTTACCCTGACTGGCGGTTCTGGTCACAGGGCCCCTTAGTAGGTGTGCGGGCCACCTCTCAACTGGCATTCTCGGCCCATGGCCACCACACTGCAGGTGGTCCCAGACTAGCTAGGACATCAATCCAATCTGCCCATTATGCCTGCAGCAGAACCTTATCTGTCCTTGGAACAGGCCTGGACTCATGGCTGGAGCACTAGCAGGGGGCAGCCGAGCCCACAGGCGGATTTCTTTAGGGCAGCCAAGGTCACGGGAGAATACAAAGCACCCTCGCAGCTTTGGAATACCAAGGGGGTCGGTTGTGCTATTCTGGGTTCAGTGGATGGAGATGTGGATGGGCGGATGGATTGCAGCATGGTTGTGTGGGTTAGACTGAAGGATGAATGGATAGATACATGCATGATGTGTTTAGGGGTGGACGGCGGAGAGACAGGTGGGTGGGTAAAGGGATGAATGGAGGAGGATGGGATCAAGTGATAGTTGGGATAGAAGAACGGATAGACAGAGGGATGGGTGGGTGGGGGGATGGATGGATAGATGGATGGGTGGGTGGGTCAGTGAGTAGATAGATAGGTGGGTGAATAGAAGGCCAGACAGATGACTAGATTGGTCAGAAGGATGAACCGATGAAAGAAAAGAATCAATAAATAATTGTGGGCTGAGAGGATGGGGAAAATGATGGTTAAACATGCTAGCGAGAGTGGGCTGGGACGGGCAAGATGGGTGGATAACAGAGAAAAGGCTTTGGTGTCATTTTGAGGACATATTTGGAAAAATTGGCAAATAGGAGAAAGTTAGGGCCTGACCGATCCCTCTCCACCATGTCATCGGGATGAAACCAAAACCAACACCCCCCTGCCCCTCTCCCATCCATCTTCCTCCGCCACTGAACCTCTTGGGGCCCTGGAGTGACCCCACCTGCCAAACCCACAGGGCGGCCCCTTCCTGGGAGTTCGGCTCCTCTTATTCTATAGTCCTTACCCTCCTGGATCCCCGAGACTTTCTCTAGCTCTCCTCTTTGCCCCTGGTAACACCCAAGGCTTTTCTGTGTCTTGGTGAGGCATGAGAAGGGGGACTTTCTCTCTTCAGATGGAGTCTGAGTTGTGCCAGCCTGACCACACATTGAATGGAAGGCATCGGTCTTTGCCAACAGAGTACCCCCCCAGACACCATCTGGGGATGGTGACACATCCTAAGAGAAAGCCCAGCCTGGGTCCAGAGCAGGATGAGAAACAAGGAGATGAGAGTCCACACATTGAATGGGAGGCACTGGTCTTTGCCAACAGAGTACCCCCCAGACACCACCTGGGGATGGTGACACATCCTAAGAGAAAGGCCAGCCGGGGTCCAGAGCAGGATGAGAAACAAGGAGATGAGAGGAAGGGGTGGGGAAGGTCGAGAATCATACACTAGGGGGCTTTCTACATGGGAGTGAAAGAGAGGGGTCCGGGTGCCAGCATTCATCCTTCTGTCTCCACCTGTGGGCTTCGGGCTCTGGCCGCTGCTTTCCTACTGGAGTTTTGGCCTCAAAACAGGAGAGGTAAACTGCTGTTTTGGCTTGATTTGTGGGAAGGAAGTCTCTGAGTAGCTGCATCTCACAGAGCTTTTGGGTCACCTGTCTGATCTTGGCTGTGACTTGTGGAGGAGACTCCTGCACATGCATCACTGGTCAGTGGTATGTAAGCTCAGCAGGTACCAGGGCAGGATGGCCTCTGAGCAGAGAGTGGGAGGCTAGATCTTCTCTTTGTATAAGAAAGGTAGGTGCTCCAGGTGTGGATACGGTTACCGCACAGATACTCATATTTAGTCCAACTCCTAATGCAAAAGCTCCACCCCCCACCCTGAAGCTATTCATTCTGTGTTTGGTTCCACCATGAGCTCTTTGGCCAAATGGGGCCTAAGCACAGTGACCGATAGAAATGCCAGCTCCCAAAGCATAGAAAGGAGCTCTAGCACCTTCCTCAGGCCTCCCTGGGCGGGAGGAGCTGCCTGCTTTGGCTGAGGCTGCCCTTACCAGGACATCCCCCTCCCACCCATTCTGGGCCTGACCTCCTCACTTCAGGCCCCCACCCTACCTTGCTGCCATCCCCTAATCCTGAAGATGCTCTCGGCACAGCAGAGGCTCCACTGTGGGTCTGTGGCAGCCCCTCGTGCCAGGTTTCTGCAGCCTATGCCAGTGATGGCTCCTTGGTGAATGGGATCTAGATGTGGGAATCATGCCAGGAAGCCTTTTATAGCTGACTTGAGTGTTCCCTCTTCTCGACAGCTGGGGTGGGAGGGACCACCCCACCTCGGACCCTCAGCCTGTGATTCAGCCCTGGAGATTGGTCTGGCCTGGACGCTGCCAGCTGACCAACATGCTAGTGTTCCTGGCATACCTGCTTGTCCCCAAAGGGGGACCACGTGAGGGGAAGGGAAACAGAGGCCAGCAAGGCAAACCAGCAGGTCTTCAGGTGAGGGGCTATTCCACAACTCACTTCAGACCTCGGTGTCACCCCCAAGTCCTGATGGTAGGAATGTGGGTAAACAGGAGCCTTAGCCCTCCTCCCCCAGACCCCAGCATACCCAGGGCAGGCACTCTCCTGACACCACTTTTCAGCACAACCTCGTGGGAATAGAGTCCAAAGCACCCACCTCCGAGGGGAGGCAGAGGCCCGTTCCACTGCACATCTGAAACCAGTTTTAATAGGTTCAACGCTTGCAAGAGAGAAAGAAAGCAGGCTGGAAACATGACAGGTGGGCGTCCGCTGTCTTGAGAGCCCAGATCCCAAACTGGTCTTTGCTTTTCTGAAACCCACAAAAGCAAACCTCTAAGAGGCTGATGGACCCACAGCACTGGGCATCGAAGATGGTGGCTGGAACGAGGAATTTTCTGGTGGATGAAATAGATCTATCTCGACTTTCAGAATTAGGTTTCCAATGTCAGGCGTGGTTCGGCGTGGCATCTAGTCCTGGCAACCAGATGGAACCCTTTCTTTCAATACTCAAAGAATGAATTCTTACAGCTCTGAAAAAATAACAGCAATCAAACAAACCCATTGCTCCCCATAGGACCACAGTTCAGATTTCTTTGAATATCGATTTCCTAAACTTTACATACTTCTGCAGTTTCTCTTAATTTTTTTTTTTTATTTGGCAAACATCTCTTCATTATCATCATGAATATCATTATTTGGACCTCTGCAAGGACTATATACATTCACATTAACGTACACTATTGACTTCTTGCCTCTCGGCGGGGCCCCTCGGGAACCCCGGTTTCAGTAGCTGGTCACTCCCCGTATTGCACTCCAGTCCTGGGAACTTCTTACAGCGATGCAAGAAAATGCCAGATCATGGACCATGTCTGCCGTTTGTTCTCCCATTGAGTACAGGTGAGAATTTCCTTACTCCTTTATTTCCTCCTTGAGATCGTTGGGGGAGTTGAGTGGGGTGGGGTGGACAGGGCTAGAGTGGGGGTACATCCCCCCTGAGGATCAGCTGGACAGAAACGCGAGGTTATACACAGCTGACCAAGTCTCCAGAAGGTGCGGAGAGGGCGGACTGTTCTTGTTTGTCGTTTTTTTTCTTTTTCTGCAAAAGTGTGAAGAG